CCTGAGGGTTCTCTCTTTTCTTTCCAAAGGAAGACATTGGATGCATGTCCCACTTCTCTCTCCAGACTGGGAAGCTATTGTTCCCTCCCGTCCAGCAGAGCGATGGTGCCCTCTCTGTCCAAGAGGCCTGACTCTCTTTCTTCCTGATGACAGAGGGCCCTGCGGGGTCTGTGTGACGGGGCTCTTTGGTCCTCGGCTGGCAGACCTGGGGGAAGGCGGCCTGGCACTTACGTGGACTCCACTCTGGTGACGACCCGGAGCCCTGTGGCCCCTGAGGGAGGCGGTCTGACAGATGGCATTGGAACAGCTGGGTAGCCATTTGTGGAAAACCTAAACGGAATCTCCGCCTCATTCTTTATACCAGAATAAATTCCAATGGCTCGAAGACTTTACCATAAAAATGAAGATCATAAGAATTCTATAGGAAAATATAGGGTGGTGTTTGCGCATAGAGCGTACAGTGCAGTGGCTACGAAGCAGAAGGAAGAGAAAGTGGCCTCGGCTTCTGCGGGCAAAGTGCCAACAAACAAAGTAAAAATAATGAACTTGATGAGGGGTTACCACACACATGCCACACAACAGGGCCCTTTCCCTTAATTTGTAGAGGGAGCATATAAATAATAAAAAAAGACGACTAATTTAGAGAAAAAGGGTCAGAAGATGTGAACAGGCTATTCACAGAAAAAGAAAGGCCCCCAACCCTGCAAAGATTCTAATTCTCATTCACAGTTAAACATAGTCCCAACGACCCGGTGCCTTTCCAAACTCGCCGACCTGTTAGAAACGGAAGGGTTGGTAACCTCCGGGGCCAGTGAGGGCTCCGGGAAACAACCACTTTCATACACCAATGGTGAGTGTGCACATTTGGAGGGGGGGTTCTAGGACAATTTGGTGATATATTCAAAGCAAAAATTTAGATACACATGTCCTTTCACCTAACAGTTACAAAGCTCTGAATTGGCCCTATGGGCAGATATGCAGAAGTGGCCGAGATAAACGAACAAGGGTGCTCATTATAGCTTTGTCTGAATGGCAATAAAACTGAACACAGCCCACATTTCATCAACAGGGCACTGTTTAAGTAAACTATGGCCGTGCCATAAAATGAGATCTGTACAGTAGATATCATAGAGTATGCATGGGATCTGTACAGTAGATCTCATACAGTGTGCACGGGGTCTGTACAGTAGATCTCATATGGCATGTACTGGGTCTGTACAGTAGATCTCATGCAGTATGCGCTGGGTCTGTATAGTAGATCTCATATGGTGTGCACTGGGTCTGTACAGTAGGTCTCATATGGTGTGCACTGGGTCTGTACAGTAGATCTCATGTGGTGTGCACTGGGTCTGTACAGTGGATCTCATGCAGTATGCGCTGGGTCTGTATAGTAGATCTCATATGGCATGTACTGGGTCTATACAGTAGATCTCATGCATATTCATGGGGTCTGTACAGTAGATCTCATACAGTGTGCACTGGGTCTGTACAGTAGATCTCATACAGCATGCATGGGGTCTGCACAGTAGATCTCATACGGTATGCACTAGAAGAATGAGCAAATCTATATGTGTTCATTTGAAAAAGACCCCAGCTTCTGATAAATTAAGAAATCACAGTTAGTACACATGAATATGTAAAAGTTTTAATATTATGCTTATACTTTTTGCAGGAGATATGGACAGTTGCTACCATTGGGTGGTTGGCGAGGGGGCTATTATTTTCTTCCCATTTTCTATCTTTCTGTGCTGTTTGACTTTCCAAACAATGTGTACATATAAATTTTACTTTCCAAAGATCAGCAGAAGTTATCTGGGCAGTGGACTTATGAATTTAAAAAATACCTTTCTATATATGAATAGATAAATAAGGTTAAAATAAGGTTAAAATATTATGACTTACGCAAAATAAAATGACAAGTTCAACCCTGAACATTCTTCTACACTTAAATTTTTGCCTTCGTCCCATAGATTACAGAACGTGGAACCATTTTCTTGGTTCATGATACCTTCCTAACTCCTTTCTCAGTGGAAGAAACACATAAGCCTGGTTTTATAATATTATCTCCCCTCCTTTTTCCACACAACTAACAAGCTATAAACATGGCTTTTCTGACTAAACCGAAATGAAGCTGTTTCCAGAGCCTGCCGAGGGGTGCTAGTTTTTGGCGTGGAGGCCCCTCCAGGGATGGCTCTGGGCACTGGATTTTGGCCCAAATGCGGAGACCAGGGGTCAAATGTGGAGACCAGGTGAGCTGCTCTGGGAGGAGCAGCCATCCAACTGGATTTTCTGAATTCCACTTCTCTGTACACACCAAAGTCAGAATGGCTCTAGGGTCCCTTTTCCCCAGCTGCCTACGTGCACCAGCTCAGGAGAGTTCTGAGGCAAACGTCACCCATTGTGGTCGCGTAGATGTAGAGGTGTTGTGGGACAGGCCAGACTGGGTGTGGCACGTCCCAGCTCGGAGGGCGATGGTGTGCTCAGAGGGCCAAGCTAGGAAGCACCTCCGGTATTGGCCACACGTCCTGAAGGTCGGTCCACGGAACAACAGATGGATATTCACGGGGCATCTGCAGAGGGCCAGGCACCGTGCTGGTGCTGGGCACACCCAGATGCTCACATCCAGGTGCAGATGCAGACAGCCCAGCATCTCGGTGTGAACTGGAGGGCCCTGGAGAGGACCTAACTTGGCCTAAGTTTAGAGACCTCCTCCCTCAGTCCTGGGGGGGATCTCTGTCGGCGGGTTTGACCGCCTTCGGTCTAGCCACTGTAGTGGGGAGGGCTGCCCCGGACATGCAGTTTCAAGGCGAAACCTGAGAAGGTAGCCGTAGTGAAGCAAACACGCCCGGAGGGTACGTCTGGGTGGCTGAAGAGTTGGGCTGACTTCCTCATCGACGTTTTCTTTACAAGTCGCTAATGAAAGCTATACGGGTATAGTTCTCCCAAAAGCTCTTTCCACTTTGAAAGAGAAAAAGAGCAACCGGTAAACATTTTTCAAGGTGTTTTGATGGATTGGAGGGCTCCCCACAAAAGTTTGCCAGAGACAAGGGGGATTCTGGTGGAGTTCTAGCGCCGCCTAGTGGTGGTGGCTGGAAAGAGGGAAAATGAGAGGCCGGGGAGGGCTGGGGAGGGATCTTGGGACCCAGGGTCTGCCGAGAGACAATTTTCCACAAGCCACGCCACTGGGAAGAGAGCGCCCCCCCCCCGCCGCCGAGTGGACTTTGGGTGCAAGTCGGACCTACAGAGTGCCTCTGGGGTCCCTTTTGGAGAAGGAGAGTCGAAGTGAGATAGCACGCTGGAGGCAGTGATGGGGACGTGTGTTTCCTGCTCTGGGTCTCCGGAGGGAGGCTGGCGGCTGGCTGCAGACTTGCCCCCCCCCGCCCCCCCCGCCGCGACTCCTATTTATCTTTCAACCTTTGCCCCGAGGGAATTTTACATTTTTCTGTCGTCAGATTTATCATACTTTCCTTTAGGTTTCTCTGGTCTTCGTAACATTCTTAGAAAGGCTCCCCCCCTTTTTTCTTTTTGCTAAGTAGAGGTCATTTAAAACACCTACAAGAGAAAAGGGATGCTGGGGTATCACCACCACTTGGAGCATTCTTCTTTGATTCCAGTTTCGTTATGTGAAACCTCTTTCATGTCCCACAGTGGCCGCGTGCTCCCTGGCTGGCTTCCAGAGAGCTGAGCCAAAGTGCCTGGGAGTCTTAAGGGTCTCTCAGGTGAAAGGGGCTCCTTTGGGAACTCAGTGAGGACACCTCACCTGCCTGGGGGGTCTTCCTCAGCCGGGGCACTCGAAAGGCTCTCATTCTGGGGCAGGTACAGTGTCCCAGGGGTTTGGAATCAGACCATCCTCAGGCTGTACCTCTGTGCTCTACTCAGCAGCTTCCAGGCAAGCGTCTGAGCTTCTCCAGGCCTCAGGGTTTTCATCTGTGAAACGGAGATGGTGATCCTAATAATAAAATAATAGTAACAACAATAATAGTACCTACCTCACAACGTTCTTATCAGGCTTCAATGAACTAATACAGGTGAAATGCTTAGCCCAAGGCCTGGTACCTGTAATGAAGTGCTCCACAAACATCGCCCGTCACAGTGGTTGCCAGAAGCTGTGGGGAAGGAAGGATGGGCAGGCAGAACACAGAGGGCTTTTAGGACCATGAAGCTACTCTGCAATGCCATGATGGTGGATACATGCTGCCCCATACCCATTTGGCCAGGTCAGTGGAGGTTCATCAGTTGTAACAAATGTACCGCTGGGGCGGGGGGGGGGGGCAGGGTATTGATACAGGGGGAGACTATACACGCCTGGGGGCAGAGAGTATATGGGAAAATCTCTGTACCTCCCACTCAATTTTGCTGTGAGCCTAACTAAACCTAATCTAAAAAATAAAGTCCATTTTTAAAGAAGGTCCTCTTGCCCTCTCCCGGGGTGCACACACACTCTAGACTAATGATTTTCCAAGGTGGCATGCATCAGAATCGTCCACAGGGACAGGGGAACAAGGAGAGGCAGAGATGGTCAATAAAATGCAGATTTCCAGGCCACAGTCCAAGACATTCTGGTTCAGTAGATCTGATGAAGGCCATTAACGGACCACACTCTGGGGAACTGCTCCACGTGGACACGCGTTCCGGTTAGAGGCTGCTGTCTGAAGAATGCCTGCAAGCTTTCCCAGGGAGAGCTGGGCACCCATGGGGCAGACCAGTGCAGGCTGCCACCCCAGCTGGGCCAGTCACACCCACCGGACGGTAGGGCAGGACATGGCTGTGCCGGAAGGGGGCTTCTGGCTCCTCCCTCTGCTCCACGGACAGCCGTCCGCTCTGGGGGCAGCCCCTGGGCCCAGGGCCAATTGTAAGTCCCTCAAACACTTGTCTTTGGAGCCCAACCCTATCCGGTCAAAACACTATGTCTCACATTAAACACGATTTTCCTGCCTTAAACATTTTGAAAGGATTTTTATAAATCTGGCTTTTCGAATCATTGGACTACAAGGGACTCATTGAATTCACAACTGGTTTTATTTCTAAGCAATCATGCGTGTGTTGGGTTTCTTGCCAAGCGAGAAAAACCTGCGGTTGTCTTTGAATATAATGAAATCTTTATGAGTACTCATTTAACAATTAATGATGTTGACACAACATTAAGTTTTGTAGGCAAGTAAGTAACATTTATGCATTTTAATTTTTAAATTTTCCTGCCATAATTTGGAATCAACAGTGTTTTTTTTCCCCCCAGTCCTATGCAGGCCTAAGTCCCGGGCCTCTCGTGCCCATGGATAGAACCCAGGCCTCACGCCAAGCACTGCTAAGGTCGCCTCTGAAAGGGCAGTGGACAGAAAGGAAAATGCCCAACCCTGGGACAAGGACCACGACCGCCCCCTGGGAAACCTGTGTGGTGACTTCAAAGGAGTTGAACATCCTGTGACCCACCCCTGGACCCCCTGCTCAAGGATCTTTTCACTGTCTCCATAGTTTTGCCTTTTCCAGAATGTCATACAGCTGGAATCATACAGTAAATAGCGTTTTTAGACTGGTTTCCTTCACGTAGTAACATGCATTGAAGGTTCTTCCATGTCTTTTCATGGCTTGGTAACTTGGTGCTTTTTAGCACCGAATACTGCTGCATTGCCTGGGTGTACCTGTTTATTAATCCATTCACTGACTAAAGAACATCTTGTTGCTTCCAGGTTTTGGCCATTATGAGCAAAGCTGCCATAAATATCCATGTACAGGTTTTTGTGGGGACATAAGTTTTCAGCTCCTTTGGGTAAATACCAAGGAGCTCAATTGCTGGATCAGATGGTAAGAGAATGTTTAGTTTTGTAATAAACCACCAAACTGCCTTCCAAAATGGCTGTACCATTTTATATTGCTACCAGCAATGGATGAGAGTTCCTGTTGCCCCACATCATTGCTAGCATTTGGTATTGTCAGGTTCTGGATTTTGGCCATTCTGATAAGTGAGTATGGTATCTCATTGTTGTTTTGATTTGCAATTCCCTGAATGACATAAGACATGGAGCATGTGTTTATATGTTTATTTGCCATCTGCCTATCTTCTTTGGTGAAGAGTCTATTAAAGTCTTTGACTCATTTTGAATCATGTTGTTTTCTTATTATTGATTTTTAAGAGTTCTTTGTATATTCAGTCTTTTATCAGATGTGCATTTTGCAAACATTTTCCCCAGTCTGTGGTCCATTTCTTATATTTTGTTCTTTCAATAATGTCTTTTGCAGAGCAGAAAAATGTAATTTCAATGAAGTCCAGCTTATCAATTCTTTCTTTTACAGTTCATCCCTTTGGTGTTATAGCTAGAAAGTCACCACCAAACCCAAGGCCATCTAGATTTTCTCTTATGCTATTTTCTAAGAGTTTTATAGCTTTGCATTTTACATTTAGGCCTGTGGTCCATTTTGAGTTAATTTTTGGAAAGATGTAAGGTTTGTGTTTAGATTAATTTTTTTTGCATGTGAATGTTCAGTTGGTCATGTACCATTTGTTGAAGAAACTATGTTCACTCCATTGTATTGTCTCCACTCCTTTGTCAAATATCAGCTGACACCTTTTGTGTGGGTTTATTTCTGGGCTCTCTATTCTGTTCCACTGATCTATATTCATCTGTTCTTTCACCAGCCCACAGAGTCTTGATTACTGTAGCGGTATGGTGCATTTTGAAGCTGTGTGGTATCAGCTCTCCAGTTTTGTTGTTGTCAATATTGTGTTGGTTTTATTCTGGGTCTCTTGCCTCTCCAGACACACTTTCTTCATTTTATTTATTTGTTTGTTTGTTTCTAGAGAAATGGGAGAGAGGAAGAAACAGAAGGAGACAAACATTAATTGATTGCCTCTCGCATGCCCCCAACTGAGGGTGGGGAGGCTCTGGCCCTCAACCCAGGCATGTGCCCTGACTGGAATTGGACTGGTGACCCCCTGCTTTGTGGGATGATGCCCAACCCACTGAGCCACACCAGCCAGGGCTCCAGATACACTTTAGAATCAGTTTGTGGATAGCCACAAAATAACTTGCTGGGCGTTCGATTGGGGTGCATTGAATCTCTAGATCAAGGTAGGAAGAACTGACATCTTGGCGATATTGAGATCACCTTCATGCTCTGACCTAAACTTAGCCGCAGGAGGCAGGAAAATGGACTGGAGTACTGGAAAGCATAGGATGGGTCCCCCATGGTGCTGGCCAGGAGACTGCATCTCACACAGTGCCAGCCATATGGGTGGTACTCAATGAATGGTCACTGGACCAATGAGCAATGCCACATTCCAAAGCACCTGGGATGGGGGCAGTATGGTGCCCGTTCCGTGCTAAGGCAGGTAGAGCAGACTCCCATCCTTCAGAGGGAGGGGGCTGGCTTAGGGGACAACTTTGAGGGAAAGGGACTGTTGAAAAGGGAACTGGCCGGGTGGGCTGGTTTGAGCAAGGCTCTCGGCTGACTTGGGTGGCTGTATTGATAGGTTAAATCACTGAATTATTCATTGATTCATTGAATAAATATTTATTGAATATCAGACACTTCCCCCCTAAAATGTCTAGAGACCCCTTGCAGTTCAGACAGGAAAACCCTGTATAGGTTTTCTGATGCCCTGACAACTATGGGCTGGGCCTTGGGATGGTGGGGGGTGCGGGGGGGGGTGCTGTATTCTGGCTAGGGATGGTTGTAGCTGTTTCCTCTTTTAAGGTTGGTTTCTGGACATGGAGCAAGGTGTCATGCTATTGACTAGGGTGGTCTCAAGTTTAGGGGAGGTCCAGCTTGGCCTAGATGAACCCCACTCTTGCCTGCATAGTGGGGGATCATCTCTGCGGTCGGTTCTGGGCTCAGCATCCTGGAGGTCAGGGAAAGAAGGAAGCAGACTGTCAGTCAAATTACTATTTTGTCAACACGGAGACTCTTCAAGACTTAAACTGACCTGGGAGCTGTGGGGAGTGAGAAAGAAGGGGAAGAGAGAGGTGAGCCAACAGGAGGAAACAGGGCAAGGAACAAAAGGAGAAGGGAGACAGCCAGGAAACCAAGAGATAAATGGGGTGGAGAAAAGCAGAGAATGCAGGGAGAAGGGCAGAAAGACAGAAGGAGGGAGGAAGAGAGAGCGAGCGAGAGCGGAGCAGCCAGAAGGGAGAGAAGTGAGGGAGAGAGAAGGAAGAGTAGAGGTCGGAGCTGCTCCGAAGGGGCCCCTGCTGGTGCTTGCTGGGTCCTCGAGGGTGTGAGCGCACGCACACACACACACACACACACACACACACACACACACCAGGATGCACATGCACACACACAAGCATGTATGCTGCACTCACACCCATCCCCTTCCTTGGGCACCGTTTTCAGAATCCACACTACGGGGGAGGCGGGGTTGCTACGGTGACAGGTGCTGGAGCACCTCCTTATGGGTATTAATAGCTTCCATTGAAGACAGCAAAACTCGGTGACTTCATCCAGCCCCAGTCTCCCTGGCAGGTTCCTTTTGCCTCCTCCTGTCCAGGACAGGGCTGGGAAGGGCCCTCAGGGCCACGCAGGCCACTTCCCTGCCTGCTGGCCACCACCTTGGTGAAGGATGGCTTGAAGGTCTATGGGATTCTTCCCAGTATGTGTGTGTGTGTGTGTGTGTGGAGGGGTAGGGAGGGATGAGGGGAGAAGGGTGCTGGAGTGGTTCGCTCCCCTGAGCTGGGCCTAACCATTGCCCTTGTCAGGGAGAGTTTCTGAGGCACAGGGCCCCTCAGAGAGGCCACTCTCAGCCTCTCCGGGGCCCATGCTGTCATACTGCCTTTTCTAGGTCCTGGCCTGACCAGGGACTTGCACCCCGTTGACACTTGACAGTGGTGTCCCTTCCCATTGTACGCAGTTCCCAGGAAGGGCTGAGGCCAGGCTAGGGAGATGGCCCAGACTGCACAGTCTCACAGGCACTCAGTCTCGGGCTGCAGCAAGTGTAGGGCTGGCACTGCCCGCCCCTGGGGCCCATGCTGCCTCCCATTTTCCACCAGGGACGCCTCACTCACCCCATCCTAATCCTGGCCCCGTTGATACTCCCAGTATCTCCTTGACCCTCTTGGGTCAGAGAAAGTTTCTGTCCCGTCCTGAGTTCCCTGCTTTGATCCCTAATGCCTCTCACCTTCCTGTGAGGTGCCTGGGGTCAGGTCGCCCTGGTTCCTGCCTCCGGACCTCAGGCAACACCCATCTCTGGCCCTTGCTCCTCTCAGACCTTCTCCATCTCTCCCTGGCTTTGCCCACAGCCCCAGGTTTAGACGACGTGGGGCCTGTGACATCTCTGCTGTCCTCCACCCCTCTGTCATCCCCTGGCCCATGCTCCAGAGCCTCCTCCCTGAAGGGAGGGTGGGACTTCAGGAAGGGCCTGAGCCTCTTCCCCTCAGCCGCTGTCTGCGAATGCTACCAAGGGCCGCACATGTCACACACACACTCCGAGGGAATTAGTCTCGTCTGTGCAGAGCCTTTGGATTTACTGTGATGCCCGGCAGCAGCTCCCAGTGACCTCATTCCAGCAGACTTCAGGGGGCATATGAGTGTGTGTGAGTGTGTGTTCATGCTTGTGTAGAATTGAGTGTGCGGGAGAGTGTAGAGGTGTGTGTGCAAATGTGTGAGGGTGCTGCCGTTCAGAGACCAGGGATTTCTGGTGCATGAGTCATCGGTCGGGCGTGGGCCTCGGGAAGACAGCACTCCGGCCTTCCGTGTGCATCCTGCAGCTGGCGGGCACGTGACCCCGGGCATCTGAGAGGCTGGAGGTGGGGAGGGGGCTGTCTTTCCCTCCAGACCCCAGAGAACAGCTGTCATGGGTATTTCTAGCTCGCCTGGAGTCCCAGACATTTAAAGATGTGCTGTTTGCGGTGGGGTGGGAATAGAGGGCAGGGAAGGGAAATAAGGAGCAGCTCCGGGGTTTTCCTCCCAGGGATCATGCAGGGGAATTCATCTATCCCATCAGTGTTTTTCTGATAGTCTGTCCGACACTCTCCTAGGGGCCGGGCCGTCATGGGGAATGGCGTTGACCTGCTCTGTCCCCTCACAGGGTTTATGTTCTAGTGGGGGAGGCGGCACACAAACAAGGGGGAAGGCTACTTTCAAACTACTTCTAGAAAGTAAAACAGAATAATGGTATGGAACGTGACTGAGAGTGGTGGCATTCTTCAGCTGGGGAAGGTCATGAGGTGGCAGGTGCGCCGTGCCTGAAGAATGAACTGTCACATGGGAGACTTGAGGGAAGAACCTTCCGTAACAGGATGGACAAGATGCCTGTTGCCAGCCCACGTCCTTGCTGAGTCTAGATCAGAGTTGCTGAAGCCAGTCAGGGGGCTGGAGGTGGCCTAGAGGAACACGAAGGCCAATCCCCTTTCCGGGGTGGGGAGGGGGAAGCTTGGCCCATCTCCCTCTGGTAGACTGGGAGATCCAGATGCCCCACGTGCAGGCAGGAGGAGAATGACTCCCTCTTCCCTTCCTGGAGGCTCACTGGTAGCAGGGCTGAGCCACAGGACGGAGGAGTCCGGTGAGCAGGCAAAGCCTCCTTTGCCCCAGGCCACAGAGGTCCCCGTCCCCAGTTCTTGTGGCTGGCAGAACCACTCGGTTCAGAGTTGGTGGTTCTCTGAAGATTTGTCCCTGAGATCTGTTTCCCCAGCTTGGCCAGCGACCCAGTCTCCTAGGTTGGGTGTGTAGGCACCCGAAGGCCCCTAACACTGTGTGTGTCCAGCAACTGAACAGCCTGGGGCTCTTGTTCTGAGTCCTTGCCCCTTCAGATCTGAGACTGGAGGATCAAGCGCCTGGGTTCCTAGTCTTACTACATTTATTCAATCATCCACTCCTTAACATTTTTTTCTTGGGCTTTTGCTATGTGCTAGAGAAACTGTAAATTAGAGCTACCTCACCCTGCGCCTGGCACCCAGGGAGCTCAGTGTTCTTGCTGTACCGGTTTTCCTTTTCCAGACCGCGTTCCACTGTCCGTGAGAGGAATAAGCCCCATAGCTCAACCACTGCCTGATGTCTTACCCTGACCAGGGCCCGGCACCCACCCCTCCCACCTCCAGGCGCGGCGCAGACCTTCCGGCAGCAGGGACGCGGAGCGCCGGGGAGCCACATCTGGCTGGGCGGGCGCGCGCGCGTGTCACTAAGACGCTCATTCACCAGCCCAGCTGTCACCATAACAACCGGAGAGAGGGAATCCTGGCGACGGTTGGGGGACAGGGGCGGGGGCGACGGGGGCCGGAGCGCAGTGGCCGGAGACCAACCACCACGGGAGCACCCAGCACGCTCTGCGCTCCACGGAGCCCCGCTCCATGCCGACCCGCTGGCGGGAGGGCGCCACGCGCGTTGCCGCAGCAGCCGTCCCCGCGGGCGGGGACCAAGCCTGCCGCTGAGCCATCAGGCCGCCTGGCAGGCCGAGCTTCTGAGCCCCCGCGCGGGGAGCCCTGACTCTATGGCCCCAGGGGAGCGCGCGGGAGCCACTGCGCCGCCCACCACCAGCCGGAACCTAAACGCCAGCGGGAGAAAGCGGGGAGCTCCGGGAGCCTCTGGCCCCAACCCAGAGGCCCCCACGTGGCCCCCACCCCCGCCGCAGGCAATGGCAGGCAGGTAGCCGGCTCGCGCGAGGACCCCCTAGGCGGGCAGGACCCGCGGAGGACCGCCGAACCCAGAGAGAGGGAGGAGAGCAGCAGCCCGCCCGCCCCCGGCCGCAGCCTCACCAGGGCCCTCCCCCGGCGGCGCGCGCCCGTGCGCGCGCACACACTTGCACTGTACCTCCGCTCCAGCCCAGCCTCGCCTGGCCCCCGCGAGCGCCGAAGCCCCTGGGGCCGGATGCCATGGGTAACAACTTCTCCAGTATCCCCTCTCTGCCCCGAGGAAATCCGAGCCGGCCGCCGCGGGGCCACCCCCAGAACCTCAAAGGTAAGGCTTCGCCGGGCCGGGCGCAGCTGGAGGACTGGGGCGCAGGTGGAGGGGCAGGGAGAGATGAAGAGGTGTGGTTGGGGATGACGGGCAGGTGCCACCTGTTGTGCCTAGCTGAAGACAGGAGATGTATGTCTCTCTGGCCATGGAGGTGGGCTGGGTTTGGGGGTGGCCTGTGGTGATGGTGGAAACCCGGGAGGATGGCGTTTCACGGGGTCTGCGCAGTTCTCCCTGCCTGTACGGGGAACGTCACTGGAGTCCCCTCAGGCCGTGATGCTTGGCGAGCATGCAGGCGCGAGGAAGGGCATTTGCCCGGTGGACAGGGCAGTGTGGCAGGATGCTCAGGGGGCCAGCTGTGCTTCTCACGGGAGGCATCATAGTCTCCGTTTTCATCTGCCCCGGGTTGGAGAGGTCACGCCGGAAGCACTAGTTGCATGTCCAATTGGAGGGTCTTAAAGATCCAGGACCCATTTATAGCAGCCTGAAAGAAGGGGCCAGAGCTGATGGCCTCTGGGGTCCCTGCAGCTGTTCACCTTTTGCATTGGCTGAATCGTCTTGGTTTGTGGTTCCCCCAAAGGCCAGATGTTCTGTTGGAACCCTATGAAGGAGGGTCTGGGAACCCTGAAACCGAGGAACGTTCCCTAGGAAGGTCTTTGCCCTCTGGGTCCCTGACCCACCCAGCACCCTCAGGGAGGCCCTAGGCCCAGTTCTCTGCCCTGCAGCCTCCAGTGCTGTCTGTGACCTTTGGGGACCTCACACATCTCCTCTGGAAGCTGCTTTCCATTCACCCTCGGAACTAGCCAGCACTGGTTCTGGATGTGCTGATGACTAAGAGTCAGGAAGCAAAGCCCTCGGGCTTTCATGGAGAACAATCCACTTCTTCAGGCCCCCAGGATATGAGAAGGATAATAGTGCTGCCCTTTGACATAAAGCACTGACGTTTGCAAACAACTTTTATGTAAGCAAGGAAACTGCCTTGGGCCAGTCAGACCCATTTCACAGTTCAGGAGAACCAATTCTTCTGTCCGGTTCTCAAAGCCGAGCTGGGCTGCCTGCAGGTCTCCATCTTCTGACTTGGAATTCTGTCCTCTCGTTTGCTGGACAGTTAACCTTCCAGACTGGGGGGAGAGGAGGAGAGACGGGACCACCGTCCTGCATTCTAACTCCACCCCTTTCTGAACTTCGGCTCTCACTCAGCTCGAGACCAATGGATTTGTTGTGTCTTTCTGGAAATTCACAGCGTGGTGCATGTCTTGGCCTTTTAAAATACCACATTCGTTGGCCTTGTGATTCCACCTAGAGGAACTGATCCCAAGGAAATGGAGATGCAGGCAGATGCTCAGACACCGGGCTAGGATGTTCACGGCAGTGTTGTTTATAGTAGGAAAACACCCTAATAGCCCTGCGATCCTGTGTGTCTGCTTGGTGGAGTACTGTGCAATCTTTAAAATGGGATTTTTTATGAATATTGATAACTTGGGAAAATACCCACAGCAGCATGACAGTTGAAAAAGCAAAATACAAAGTTGTATAGACTATAAGGTCCCAATTCTGTTTTTATAAAAAAGATACAAATACCAAAAAAAAAAAAAATCAACCATGGAAAGCAAGGTTTCCAAAAGGATTAACTGTGGTTTCCCCTAGGTAATGGGACCATATAAGATTTTTTTCTCTTCTTTTGAACATATTGCTCATTTCTGAAGTAAGCAAGTACTGCTTCTTATAGTCAGAAATAAGCTGTAAGTGTTAGCATGAGCACCGGGAGCAGGTCCCTAATGATGGAGGAAGCTGTGGACATCGTCCAGTTCAGTGACAAGTGGGAAGGAGGAGGGAAGAGGGTAGTGATTGGCCCAGTGACTCAGTGGGCCAGTCCAGAGAAGGTGGCAAAGCTGGGCTGAGTCCTTCAAGGGCAGGGGTCAGGGTTAGCTGGGGGCTGGCAAGTTGACTTGGTGCTTTGATGCTCACAGAATGCCCCCAAAGGTCCTGCTCCATCCTTGACCCCAGGGAAGCCCAGAGAAAGCCTGGATAATTGCACCTGTTTGTACCTGAAGTCTGGGATCATGGGGATGTGAGGTCTTTGTGGCTGGGGTCTTTGGCAAGGGAGGGAGTGGGCAGATGAGGGTCTGAGGCTCTCTCACCTCCCAGGCTCCTCCCTAGCTTGCTCCTCTGCCTACTGCCCACTCACCTGGCTCGGGAAACATCCCTCCTGTTGCCTCCCTGGCTCGCAGCGGTTGGTCCTTCTATGGGAGTAAATGGTGGGGAAGGTCCCTCCCAGCAGTCCCCCTCTCCCTGGCCATCTCCCTTCAGGCCTGATTTACCAGAATCCACTCCCTCCTCCCCCTACCCACACACCTGCTGGAGGTGGTCATGAGAATTTTGATTCTGCTTCCTCTAAGCCCGAGGTGAAGAATTAGAGCGTGCCCCTCCGTCCTTCGCCTGGCGCCTCCCGATCCTCCATCTCAGCCTGACTTCTTCCCACCCTGCTGGAGCCATCAGCTCCATCCTGTGATTGTTTCAGTGTTCAGATTCCCTTGTAACTGGATCGGCATCGATTTAGGCATCTTCTCTGTCGCAGCAGTGGCCACCCACAATTCCACTCCCCTCTTACTGGTTGTGATTCTAAGACTGTCCACCACGCAGAGTTCTGCCGGGATTCTTTTTATACACACCCAGAATTCAGCTCTAATTCTTAGCAGTGTCCATCCAGAAATTTGCTGGGGGCAGGGAACTCTTGATTTTTTCTCTCCTATAATTGCAGTCTCTTTGATTTCTCAACCATTTTCATGAAAACAGTGGGAAGGGGCTTGCTGTACTAGGGATCCTGGGTCTCATGGGAGATCTAAGATTAGTCTGGCTGTCAGGCTGACGTGAAATAAGTCCTGTCCATTTCCTTTCCATTGGGGTAGGCTACAGTCTCCTTCCTGGAGACGCACTGGTACCTCACCCCACTGCTGGCGGTTCCCACTGGGCACTGAACAGCGTGGGTCTAGGCGTGTCCCGGGGAGAGGTCCAAGGTATAGCTCTGGGCTTGGGACCAACAGACAGTCACGAGTTGCTGCTGTTCTCTGCCCGGCTCAGACAGAGGTGAGCGCTCCTGGCATCCCTGTGCATTCACAGGCTGAAGATGTACTTGAAGAGGCGAAGCAGAACAAATGCCGGGTTGGACTGTTGCTACCCCAGATGTGTGTGGGCAGACGTCAGAAGTGGGGGGATCAGGGAAGGATCTGAGCTGGACGTGGAGAGACCTGCAGAAATGGGGTAGATGGCCAAGGGGTGCAGCGGGAGTCCTTGGGTGTGGGGAGGAGTGCAAGGAAAGGGTCCTACAGCCAAGGCTTGGAGGCGACAATGAGTGGGTGCTGCGTATATTTTCCATGGCGGGCACAGGGTGGCTGGGCAGGGGGCTCGGTTTCACAGAGACAGGTACAGAGAGTAGAGGCCTTTCTCCTTCCCCAGCTGTTTCCGAGTGCCCGCCTGCTTGCTGCTAAGCGTTGGGGGAATGGTAACTAGAAAACCTCTGGGGAGGGCTCCTCAGCCCCCGTGGTTGCTCACAGATGGGGACTGGATGGGCCACTTCCTTTTTCTTTTATTGTAGTAAAAGCCCTATGACACAATATTCACCATTTTAACTTTTTACAGTGTACAATTCAATGGCATTTAGTACATTCATGATGTTGAGCAACCACCAACTCTGTCCAGTTCCAGAACATTTTTATCACCCCAAAAGGAAAGCCTGGACTCACTGAGCAGCCACTCCCCCTTATCCCCTCCCCTGTATCCCTGGCAACCACTTTCTGTCTCTATGGATTTGCCAATTCTGGACATTTTGTATAAATGGAATCATACTATATTTGTCCTTTTGTGTCTGGCTTCTTTCACTTAAGCATAATGCCTTCAAGGTTCATCTATGTTTTAACATGTGTCTTTTCTTTTTGTGGCTGAATAATGGTCCGTTGTATTGTCATGCCACACTTTGTTTATCCACTTGCCAGGTGATAGGTATTGGAGTTGAATTTTGCTGCCGTGGAGACATGTGTGTATGAGTTTTTGTTTGAACACCTGGCTCGGTTCTTTAGGGTATATACCTGGGGGTGCACCTTTCGTCTCTTCAAAGCTCCGGGCCGTAACAGCCGCAGGGACATGGTCCTTCTCCAGCTTTGGCACCTGTTGTTTCTTTCTTTGTTGTTGTTGTTTTATTAAATTTTTTAAAATCCTCACCTGAGGGTATGTTTTATTGCTTTTAGAGAGAGAGGAAGGGAAAAAGAAAGAGAAAGAGAAACATCTATGTGAGAGAGAAACATTAACTGGTGGCCTCCCCTATGTGCCTTGACCCTAGACCACAGTCGAATCTGCAACCTGGGCATGTGCCCTGTCCCGGGATCGCCCCACAACCTTTGGAAAGATGTTCCAGCCCACGGAGTTTCCCGGCTAGGGCAGACACCTGTTGTTTCCAGAGTCTCTCTTCCATGCTGACGGAAGCTCCTGGCTGGCAGAGGGAGGGGCCCCTAAAGCTGGCTGGCCGAAGAGCCCCGATTCTTCAAGGTGGGCCGGACTGAGCCACGTGACCATGACCGTGTCTGCAGTCCCTGGACTTCCTCACTGCTCTCTGAGGGCGGGGGGCCGGGCGTCTGCTCTCAGGACAAGGTCCTGGCCAATTTCCAGCCTTCACCCTCTCCTTGCTCCTTCCCTGATCTGTGTCTTCCTCCCAGATAGTGCAAGAGCTGGCCTTCCTGCCTTCAGTTCCTCCTTTGATGCGGCCACGGTGATCCGCCTAAAGTATCCCTTTCATCATGCGCCTCCCCTATACACAGCCTTCAAGGTTATGACCGAGATAGCTATAATCAGATATTCAAGGCCTCCGTGCTTTGCCCAACCCACAAATATTTCCATAGCCCTTGTCTGGGCTCCCTCCTTGGTTGTCATGACGCTGACAGGTTAGGTGAGCTCATCCAGCATTCCACCCCCAGCGAGGCAGCAGACAGACCTGCAAAGAGAGGAAGCTG